AGGTACTTAGGCGGGTTGGGTACATAAGCGGGAGGTACTTAAAAGAGGGATTTTCTTCAGAATACATTAAAAAATTCACGGTGCCCAATAATATTGGGAACTTAAGCGGGTTAGGTACTTAAGCGGGTTTCACTGTAGCTCTAAACGTGGTAGAGATTGAACCTTAATAGGTGCCACTTTAGATTTGGAAATCAATAATGTTGTTTTGTATATATCATTCATATTTGTACGAACATATACTCAGCATCCGTATGCGCGTTGAGACGCATCCGCAAACCCATGAATCTCGCTGCTTAAAGAGAAAGACTTCGGGGTAATTAAAATCTGTTAATGTAGGAAAAGTCGGATTTAATGTTGAGCCACATCTTCATTAAATATGGCGGCAGCCCTTCATCCCATTTCAGCTCTTTTATCTACATTTCTTTTATCTACATTTAATAACGATTGGACTTAGTAAGCCCAGTAGAAAATTCCAGCGAGAATGGAAACAATCGAAAACAAATTGAGTCGTTGCTTTTAACGACAAACTCTTCATTCGATGATTAAAGAAATTGAGGACAGTTTGTGCTCCACTTTGTGAGGTTTAGGCCTGCTGACGATAAAATTTCTATTATTTCTGATTTTATCTGTTGTAATTCACTTAGGCTATCTGCTCCGTGCTAAACCATAAGTAACGGCATTGAACTCGAGCATTTGAAGTGGCTCATTTCCAAATAATTAATTGAAACTTCCGATCATCCTTTCCGACAAGAATTGGCGATATATCGGCTGTGATCGCAAACCGATGCAAACGAAAAGAAAATGATAAAATAACACTAGTTCACTTCTGAAACTGCTTTTTAATGTCCAAGTTAATGGGAATTATTGTGTATGGTGTTATTGCATGCTGCATGCCACCCATAGTGGAATTTACCAGGTGCCACTGCTTTATTTGAAAATTTGCCTATAAAATGTGACTATAAGGCAGCCGAATGTCAAAAAAAAAAGCGAGAAAGCCGTTTTATTACTTCATCTGTTTGTTGGGACATGGTTCCATGCAAACATTTTAAGGTTTTCCAGCAATGTTTTTAACATATTAAAAAGCATGCAGAAAAAATTCATACAAAAGCGTTATGTCCAATACGCGGAGCAGTTTTTAAAGACGATGATTTGCCTATATTTTGTTAGACTTTTCATAAGTAAAAATATTTTGTGAATATTACTTTCTTCATATGAATTATATCACATTTTTTGTTTAATTCAAGGCCTATCAA